TAGCGGACTTATTTGAAATCGCACTCGAAATCTAATGGCACCATTAAATTGTATGTACTTTTCTGCGTAATCGTCCGTTATTGTAGTTCGGAGTACAAGAATTTAGTTATTGAAATTTGCTGTTTTTTATTAGACATTATGCAGTTTTTTAATTAAAATAATTATATATTGTGCCCTTTTTTTTGATGCAGTTCAAAGCTTCACTTTTACTTACTATCTGGAAGTGCAGAAATGCATTAATACTTATCTTTGTTGTGAAATGAAGTTAATTGTTGATATAAATTAATGCGAATTTCATAATTGTTAGTTGTAGGTGACTCTTTCTATGTTGTAGTTTTATTACCGTTTTAAAATTGTTAACAGCGAGTTTTAGTTCGAAAACTCTCCATAGCACGGTCGTCGATTGCGCCACCAGTCTTTTAATTCTGCCTTTGCTGATCGTGTTTTCACATACGTAAGAAACTGGAAAATTCCGTAGTTGTTTCCTATTTTTGAGCAATAATGTGTTTTCGTTAAATCGTTTCCGAAAAATTGCAATTTGTGCACGTTCAGTCAGCAAAATATGTGGCGAAATCAAAAGCGAAATATGTAGTGATATCAATATTTGCGTTTTCTAAGGTGATATAAGCATTTCTTTCATTATCAGAAATGTTGTTAATAAAAACATCATTTGTTGTTATCGAGTTAGAAAGTGTTACCTACCCATTGATAAAACCAATGCAGTAATTTGTGCAATGTGGAGCATTTCTAAAAAGTGCCCAGGGAACTAAAACTACTTTCCGGTGAGTTTTTGTCATTTGGTTTTTTTCGAGTTTCTGGTGATTAGGGTAATTTTGAAGTTTTTCTTTTGATAAGGGGCATGTTTCAGGTTAATCTTAAACTATTTCAATAATTTCCAAGTAGTTCAGCTATAATTGTAACTATATTAATTCAATTTATAAGAAATTCGCAGTTGTCATTGTTTAATTAAAAATTGCTACTTACTACTTTGAGTTCTTTCTTCACAGTACGAGTAAGATCAATGTATTTTTTATGAACCTTCTTGACTGCATATAATCGTCCTTTGTATAAACCTACTTGAGTAAAAATAGTCGAATACCTTAACTCGTTATCGAGATTAGAACTTAGTGAAACTTGACTTGTCCTTACCAATGGGTGAATTGTCTATGAAGAGAATGTTGACACACAAAATTACTATATATTATTAAAATAAATAAATAAAATATATACTTTAGTATCTTTCAAGTTTGCATTTTCTTCGAATTTAATTTGTATCTCTCGAAAGTCAATTTTCCATAATAAACTGTCTAATTCTTGCTCATACTTCCAGTTACGATATAAAAACAGAACAGCTAATAAAACAATCAATGTTATGGTCCCGGTTATACCGCTAATTATTTCTAAAGTATTATCTGCAATGGATAAAAATTTCAAGTAAGTACGAAAGACGATTTTGAAGTACAATTTTCAACTCACTCAAGCAGTTTTCCCCGTTAAAACCGCAAACTGGTACGGCAATGGGAACACTCTCACCTACCCATTCTATGTCTTCAAGAAGTTGCAGGACCTACAACAACTTTTCTGAATTTCTCGTTACAAATATATACATTTTATTCAAAAGATGTTACTGGTAATGGAGAGACATGGTCAGTAAAAACGAAAACACCAACAGGAAACAGTCCGTATCCCAAACCACTTTCTTTCATTGGTTTTCGTGCAACAAGGGTGTAATTTCCCTCTGCATCTGCATTTTCATCTATATAAACTAGATAACTAAAATAATACTACTATTAGAAAATACTACAAATGGCGCAGTAAACGCCATCTGTAGCACGATGCTACATTTTAGGATGCATATCACGTTGAGGTTGGCTACGCCGGGATTCGTTTTCATCAAGAGATATCCACACAAGTGAACCTAAAATCCTAAAATGTAGCATCGTGCTACAGATGGCGTTTACTGCGCCATTTGTAGTATTTTCTAAAACGCGCTGTTAAGACAGCAGGTAAAAGTTGGTCTGTGTTCTGTCGGAGCTGCCTGCAACGCGCTGATGAGATCCAAAAAGATCGAAATCGCGATCCGCGTCTGGCAGTTTCGACAGAATACA